TGGTAAATATTTTTGTCCGACATACTTTTCCTATGTCGAAAAGTAGCGTGAAGACAAAGACAGTTTTAACAATGACCTATATGACAGAATCTACTGAGCCTCTAGTCCTTAGAAGACAAAGGCTGGTTATTCAGTTACTGTAAAATTTCTTTCTGTATTTGTGTCGTTCTATCGTGAGACGGACTCAAAGTCCGGCAAAATTTACTTGCTAATGACCATGAAATATACATGATGTGCCTACTTGTTGCCACAGTTTACTAGCATAAATCACCACTTATGTTGAATTGATCCGATCCGATTTTATGATCCGATGTTTATTTGGACGAGTCGCTGGGCCATGAACGACACGGTAGATGGGATAATCGTCGCTAAAAGTGATGTTGATTGCACCTGCCCTCTTAAACAACCCGGGTGTTGAGGCGATTAACACATCAATAAGAGTGGTTGTTGTCGAAGTCACACGGGTTGGTTCTTTTATCAGTTGTACAAGTACTTTTTCCCATGGTAAATACCAGCAGACGACAAAGAACCCACGCAGGAATTCAAATCTACTGCCGTTCTCCCTTACATAAAGGATGTATCAAAGGTTCTTCGCCGCTGCCTACAACATCAAGGCATACGGACCGTTTTCAAGTCTGATACAACACTCAGGTCTCACTTAGAACGACCTAAAGACGCCTTAGAACCAACAAAACAAGACGGTGTCGTTTACAAGATCCCATGCGAATGTCGCAAAGTGTATATTGGTGAAACTGGAGGATCAACACGAGAAAGGATAAAAGAACATAACAGAGACATTCGGTTTGCTCGTACTCAGACCTCTGCGGTTTCGGAGCACGCTAACGAGACGGGGCATATTCCTATTTGGAGCAAGGTTAAGTTTAATGATCGTGATCCCCACTGGTACACACGTAAGGTCAAAGAGGCTATCTATGTAAGACTTCATCCCAACAGCATCAGTAGGGATAGTGGAATCGAAATTTCCGAAGCTTGGATACCTACGGTCAAACAACATAGCAATCATTCAGTGAGGATCTGTATGGGAACACCATCTAACAACCGGAATATAATGGGGATCGAAAAGTACCAATAGCAGCGAACCAACGTGTTACAAATAGCGACTCTTAAACAATCGATCCCATCGCCTGATGAAGACTGGCAGTATTGCAGTCGAAACGTCGCGATCAACAGGAAAAGTGACTCTATCGTGAGACAAACAAATAAAGTTCATCATTGTTTCCTGCATTTTTGTATTGTATGGTTCATATTATTTCCTTCCTTTTAGATGTGTATGTCACAAGAAATGAAAAATATCAAAAACCTTCTAACCTCCACCAGTTCAGGTGTGTACAAGAAGATAAAAGGGCATGTTGGCCCAAGCCACACACAAAACATCCCATTGTGATACTCGTACACCCACCGTAATATCTGCGTCACAAGATCTATTAAACCAGTTTGGTGTGAGTCAAGATCATCGTCATATATCAAGTATAATGATATTGATGCATTTATATGGTGTATTCTTCATATTAATACAGTATGCACTTTACTACACATTCTAGGGGACTGGCTAGATTACAATGAGCAGTTTACAATTTTTTAACAGAAATTTTGCACGTGATCCCAGGTTTAGAATTTCTGGAACCAAGACCAGACCACAACACCAGGTGATCTGCACACTTAATTTGCTTCTGCTAAAATGTGGAAAGCTGTCTAAAGTGGTTACTCGTCTGTATCATTCAATAGGGCAATGATGACTTTGTTCGTGGCATGCAATTAAGAATTAATAAGTACTTAAAATTTATTTCTTAAATATTACAAATTGCGTTTGCCCTAGGGGCTTAAGCAATTTAGTTGCTCCAAGAAAAAATTACTTGTGTTTATCTAATCTAAATTATAATCAAATTCATTTGATGACCTATACTAATAGATCACGCCTGGTGTGCACAAGTTAAATGTCTATGCTAAGTCTAACAGTTAATTTATGCATTCATTTGCAAATAATTTCAAAATTGTTATTTACAGACTTGGCATTAATTATCAGAGCTTTAAAAACCGTAATAAAAATAAGATTAATAAAAGTTATAATAAATGGGCTTTTCTCAAGCAAAAAAGGGTATTTTCTAGTCAACTGAGAATATAACTATTGAAAGAAAGTAAAAGTAACTTGACTTGTGTCAACCTCTTCAAGGCCAGCTTGGAGTTTGTCTTTATTCTACCTTCCTATCGGGTAAATTCAAACCTAACCAATAGATTCCATCTTGTCGTATGTCTGTGGGAACTAAGTCACAGAAGATGACAAATTATGGCCAGAAAATAATCGTCTTTGCTTCGTGAGTCATTAGTTCGTCTCACTCACCATTTGGTAGTCTTGGGAGCTGCAAAACATAGCCAAATAAAAAGTTTTTCTCAGTGCCAGGCATCTTCCTCACTAGATCTGCAGAATGATGTCTTCCAAGCAGAATTAGGGAGATCAACACAACAGCTGCCAGCAGCAAAGAGACTGCCACCACTAAAAACATGATGACTTGAATCCAAATAAATTACTAACAGCTTTGTTCTATCGATTTGTGATTTCTTTTGATCCGTAGAAATATCTGAATTCCTCTAGTACACAGAGTAGTTTTCTGATTGCAACAGCAGCAACTATTTCTGTAAATTTTTGTGAAAACAAAAATTAGACCGCTATTTATAGGCTCAGGAGGTATCGTGACCTTGAATGTCCGTTGAAAGCGAACAGGAAGCAAATTTTCTCCGCCATATTTTTTAAATTATTTTTTACAAAGCACACTGGGAACGACGCTGTCCCAAATGTCGCTCACCTCGGATGACCTACTGAGTATGTTTGTCACAGGATTAGATTCAGTCACTTATTAACCATTTTATAGGAGTTTACATAGTCCTTTACGTAATCCTTACAAAGTATCTTCAATTTTGTCAAAATATTGATCAAAAGCCTTCAACTAAAAATGTATTTGACTCAATTGAGCTTGAATGGCCTCTACATGTATCAATACTCAGAATAGGGAAATACACAATGTACTACTTTCATATTCTGCTCTGTCCAAGCAAAAAAATTAAAAATCAAAACAAAAGACAAAACAAGAAAATCAAAAGAAGGCCTTACATACGTATATAGCCTTTGGGGTGTCAAATTTTTTTAAACGATTTTTTTAATTAATTTTTTTTAACTAAACTTGGGAGTAGCACTCTGCAAACAGTTGTTGTAAGACCTCTTTATTCTCCGACGCGTTTCGCCTAACTTTCGTAGACTTCTTCAGGGAGTTTTACAAGTTATCACCAAACGCCTGTATTTGTAAGCCGTAGTTAGCGGCTACACGGGGGCCGATGACCATAAAGGCTTGGCCGGCCGAACATACGAACAGGAATAGGCGAAGTTGTGAAAAATTTGAAAATTGTGGCCTGTGAAGGGCTTTGGATGGCAAAAGCCGGAATTCTAATTTTTTTCAAGAACGGAACCCTTTCCCTTTGCTTTTTTTCTTTGCATATTTAGCAAAACTTCTCGAGTTCTTCTTTGATATGCACGTGTGAGTATCTACATATGTAATACGCGCAATATAAGTAAATAAATTATTATAATTATTATTGATACCGAGTACAGGATTGTAGCAAGCATATCCAACATATGCTATTCTGATGTCGCACTATCATAGATTTACATTTAAGTACGTTTGCACGGCCTTAACAAGGCCTTCTTTTCTGCTTTTTACTCCAAAGAAATCAATATAATGATTCATTTCTACTTATACGTCTTTGACAACAACGAGAGAAATCCATCATTCCATGAAGAACAGTTTCCCGCCATTGCAGCTTGCAGCCACTTTGGCTGGATGTTTTTTCAAGCATCGACAGGCAGTTTACAAGTGAAAATTTTCACGCGAAAAAAGAACCAACAATAATGACAGCAAAATCAATTTTAATTTATCGTTGTTAACGCTCTGTTTCCGGCCTGATCGATCCCTTCAGTAAATCAGACTTCCTGTACATGTGAGGAGTCTAATGTTTTCCTATCAACAAATCAGAAAAATTGAATTAATTCTTTCTCCCAGAAGTCATTATTTAGCGACCATACCGCTGACAAGGAGCCAAATTGACCCTGAGCTCGAGATTGTAGCTTGTGCAATGTTCAGCGCTTGGTAACCACCCTATCTCTGAAACATGGTTGCGCGGGCTCAGCAGTACTGCCCTAAGCACTAATTAAGCCTCATTATCATTATCTTCCTTTGGAAACATTTCCGAATTACCGTTGACTTCGTTTCGGTAGCAATCCTTTTTCATGCAAGTGCAACAAACATTTAAAGCACTGAGATGAGAAGTGGGAGAGGGGGGAATAAACTTACTTCTGTTGTCAACTATTGAAAGATGACTTAACTCGCGGAAGTTGCACTCACTGCTCTTCCTGTCCACCCCATTCCGTGATAGTTTCATATCACACGGAAGGTATTCAGCTCTAAATCATAGAAAAAGCAATGGTGCAATAAGAGTCATAAGTTGGTTAGCAAGAAGAGGCAACCTCATACCAAGGGTTTAACAGGAAATTGAGTGGAGTAAAGGGGTAAATGTCAATGTCGAAAAAAGATCTAATTCATTCAAAGTCACTAATCAGCGAGGCTTTTTCTCAGAAAGAAAAATTCTGAAGTTGTGTAAAATATATCGAGCAATTTCCTAGACCGACTCTAAAAACTGTTAGAAAACTGATTTCCCTATGACATTTGTGTAAAAATATCGATTGATATGCCGCGTTCACTATTTAAAACTTTAGTCCTCTGGTCAACACATGTGGTTTCGAGCACTTTGAATACAACTTTAGCCTTTGGCTGCCAGTTTCGGAAAACAGTTTCCAGCCACTTTAATTAGCTCAGGAGCCCATTACTTCTGTTACCTTTGATAAAATTTTAGACTTCAGATAAATTAATAAACGCAGAGATGATAATGAATTTATTAATAGTAAACGTATTAAGGTAACATTGAGACGAGATACTTTAGTGATTGTATAGGAATCCAGCTTTTAAACAGATGTTTTATGAGATGACAACTTATATCAGAAACGTCGGTATCTGAGATCTAGAAACTTACTTTCTAATTAAGACACTACCTGGTCCTTTGACAGTTCTTATTAACTGTTAATCAAATGAGATTTGATACCTACCATCTTTAGAACTCTTATAATATATATAACATGCAACAGTTCGTCACGACTTAAAAAGATTGGCAATATGCACCAGCTTATATAACGATGGTATTAACGATTACGATAAGGAGTGGGCTACGGTAAGTCGTAAAGTACATTGTTCACAAGGATCTCTTTAAGACGTATATCATTTTGTGAAGTTTTCAGACTCAGATTTAGTCCGTGCCACAGTAGCGAGAAGAACAACTAGGAGGCTGAACAAGTATGTAGACGAAAAATGATCCACAATTTTTAACTAAAATGTTGATTATATATCTGCAACCTGTAGGACGATCGCTAAAGCAGATCTTTCTGAAAACTTCATCATCATCCACTGTAGGATGAGCACCATCCAACCAGCCTGACCAGTCTGTACCACATCTGTATGCTGGCACACGCGTTGTTGGCATTTTTGTTCCTGCAGCTCCCACAAAACGATACCATCCCTCAGGGAGTGAGTTGTCACATAACCCTGAACCATACGGTGTGACGTAACTGCTTTTTCTGTTAGCTTCACTTAGGTTGCGGTAATTATAACATGGATCGGCTAAAAAGTTGAATAATAATTGTGAAAGGGAAATCTTATCATCTTTTTATCATAACGTAGCTCAAAGGAATCACTTGAAGCTATAGACTTCTCACTTTCACCTCACCACCATTTATATATTGATATCATCATCATATATATATTTATACGAAAGTTAAAGAATTGAGAGGACGCATCGATTCTCTTTTAATCCGAGTTTCCGCCTGAGTGCTCGTCAGACAAAACTTTATTCGAATAAAGTTCTGTCTGACCAGCGCTTAGGCGCGAAACTCAGAGTAACAGAGAATCGATGCGTCCTCTTTAATTCTTTAACTTATGTATACTTAGCTCTGCTACCGCAACATTGAGTACTTTACGCCAAGGTAGACTCTACCCCCACATATATATATATATATATATATATATATATATATATATATATATAACTAACTGCAGACAGTACTGTTTCGGCCTTCTGTGTGGTATCATCTAAGCCATGCCAGAGTGCTCAAACTAGATAAACTAGTGAGCATGCATAATGCTAGCAGCAATGACTCATCCTAGTAGAGTGCTCAATTTGGACATGAAAGCAAAGCTTTGTATGCCAAAGAGCTATATCTAACTATATATATATATATATATATATATATATATATATATATATATAAATATTATGAGAGGAAAAAAGGACGCAACTACATTTCCCGACAAGCCTGTTTCGTGAATCGCTTCACTCTGATGGTGCTGATGAAGAGTGAAGCGGTTCACGAAACAGGCTTGTCGGGAAATGTAGTTGCGTCCTTTTTTCCTCTCATAATATTTATTCTGCTCTGCTTCGACGTATTGAGCACTGTTCCACGCGAAAATCGACTTGCAGACTTCCTATATATATATTTATATATATAAAACACATTCCTTTGACCCAAAGATAGCAGATGCTAAACAGGGAGGGGGTCAATTTTACTTTAACTTAATTAAATTACACTGGAAATAATATAGAAATAAAAAAATAAATAAATAAAAAGAGGAAAAATATAAGAAGTTCATTTCTTGAGTTTCTAGGTGTACGAAAAATATTGTAGAAATTTGAGTTAAATATTAATAATAATGATAATAGTAATAATAGTAATAACAATAATACTAATAATACTGCGCGCTCCTAGGTAACATTTAACTAGACGTACATTATGAAGTTACGAAGACTTAAAATAATAAACTTACCTTCACATATAGAACCATTCCCAATGTAGGTAGGATTGCAAGAGCAGTTGTATGAGCCCTGAGTATTAACGCAAGAGGCATTCAGATGGCAGTCGTTCATCTTGACGACAAAATCCTCACTGCACTCATCAATATCTAGAAGATAACGTCCTCGGTTGATAGAGATAGGAAAGATTTGTAACGCGCAAGTTTACTAACATAAGTGCAGTTTCTAGCCAGTGAAACCAGCCGCTTCTCATGTCTCAGTTCAATACTGATCGGCACAATTCACAACATGGAGGTCAATACATACGTAGCCACTGGATGTATTGCATTCACAGGACTGGATTTGGCCATGAGAATAACGATTCTCCAGGTAAATGTTGTTCATTTTTTAATTTCACTTCACCTGCCATGTCTAAAGTTGTAAATCACATTGCATCTTTTCATGTATGACAGACTCTTTATGATTTACTAGGTTTATTATCTAGTTTACATGTACATAAGGGGGGTTAATTTGTCTCTAATGACCATTAATTGTTCAACAGACTTAAGTCAATGGTTTATAAATCGATCATGAAAGATATAAACTATAAAAATTTCCCTTCTCGATAGAAATTATGCAATATATCTCAGAACTTGAAACAAGGTATATTAAGCCTGAGGGTTCATAATATTCTCTAAACTCCGCAAAATACATGTGTAGTTCCTCAGGCGAACTGGGCGCTTATAGAAAATTTCGGCTAAAACTGAGGGGGGGAGGAGAGGAGGGGGCACTTATTTGCGTCATCGATTAGTCGAGACGGGTGCTTCTTAAGTTACCTCAGCAATAGGACATAAAATCAAAATAATACATAATACATAATACATAAAGGAACTCTGCAAGCACATGAACATAGAAAAATTTCGAATGGAAAATAAATTATTCTGCTGTACTGATTGCGCTGTTGTTGAAGGTTGAATAGTTATATAAAAAATGTCGCAATAGAAACAGATTTTCCCTGTACCTATACTATTTAAAAAACTGAGGGAGTAGAGGGGTTGGTGGGGGTGGTTATCCGAGCGTAGCCGCATATTCGAGAAAAATATTCCAGGTAATGGTGTTATGATATATCTCTTATTCGATGGTAAGAGAAAAAATCTTGCTAATTGCCTTCTTTTATTCTCTTCCCTTCTGGACTCGTAAAATATCCGCACGCATTATTAGAAAATTGTGTATCTATGCATATTATGATATCCGTAACTTAATAGAAATACGAGGTCTGGCCGTGAAAACCATTGCGTTGCCTCTTGATCATTAGCCCAGTTATGAAAACAATTCTGGTTATGGAAAGGTGTTTTGCTCGACATAAGGTATCGCTGTTCTAATCTACATTGGCAAGACTGTCCATCTCTAATGTATCCTTCCTAGCAGATGCAATAATG